TAGAGTGGAGAGGGAATCTTGGCCATTCTGCCAACAGGGTTATCTCTTATGTGAAGGCTCGGCTTATGGTAGAGAAGGGGTGTCTAGCTTATTTAGCTTATGTCCGCGATTCTAGTGCGGAGGTTCCTTCCATAGATTCGGTGCCAGTTATTCGTGAGTTTCCAGAGGTGTAGCCTGCAGACCAGCCATAGATGCCACCCGACAGGGATATTGATTTCTGCATTGATTTGGCTCTAGGCACTCAACCTATTTCCATTCCGCCAATCGTATGGCCCCGCCAGAGTTGAAAGTGTTGAAGGAGCAGTTGCAAGATTTGCTTGATAAGGGCTTTATTAGACCTAGTGTCTCGCCCTGGGGTGCACCTGTGTTGTTTGTGAAGAAGAAAGATGGATCGATGAGGATGTGTATAGATTATCGGCAGTTGAACAAAGTCACCATCAAGAACAAGTATCCATTGCCGAGTATTGATAATTTATTTGATCAGCTTCAGGGTGCCAAGGTGTTTTCTAAGATTGATTTGAGATCTGGCTACCATCAATTGAGGATTAGGGCATCCGATGTTCCTAAGACAGCTTTTCGGACTCGGTATGGGCATTATGAGTTTCTAGTGATGTCATTTGGGCTGACAAATGCCCCAGCAGCATTATTTTCTCGTATGATTATCATTTTCTCTTGTGAAGAAGGACCAAGATACTTCTACCCATTGATAAGGAATAACTTTTTTTTCCCTCAAATTGTTTTGATATAATTTTAGAGATTTCTCTTTACGTATTGCTCCATCATACTAGCCTCCATTATTGTATACAATATTACGCTTACCCAATGGCGGAGTCACGATTTTTACCAAGGGATACGCCGAAATACAATATAATTTTTTGGTGAAGGGGTATCGATTGACATCCCTTGGTTGAATGTGGCTCCACCAGTGCTTGTCCACCTTATTTTTCTTTTTAAACAATTATAAAATAAAATACAATTTGACAAATAATTTTATAAATATTTTTTTGAACGAATACATTGGGTTGGTCACGTGACTAGCACAAGCAGATGCTTCATCGGGTTGACCCGACCCGTTTAGCATGCTTAAAAGCGGGTCATCACTAGGCCGTTAGAAAGGAGAAAAATGAAGGCTTTGAGTATAGCCGTAGCCGTTTCAACATTTAACGCCACTCGCCGCCCTCGTCTCTTCACTTTCCGAAACCCTCCTACTTCTTCTCCCCTTCGTTCATCCCTCCTCCTTCCAGCCTTCAAACTCAAGAGATTCTCCATCTTCTCATCTCAAAAACCGCCACCGGCGCTAGGGTTTTACGCCGGAGTTACAACAATGGTGGAGAAACCAGCATCTCCGCCGTCGTCAGTCCAAGTGAAGGACCATATTGATTTAACGGAACATGAGGAGAAGATATTCAACTGTCTTCTTCAAGTTGTCGAGCAATTTAATCTCAAAACACAGCTTCGTGTTGCTGGCGGTTGGGTTCGCGATAAGGTTTTAGTGCTAATCCTAATCGTTCTTTGTTTTTCTCCTGTTATTAAACCGTCCTAATTTAACAGTCAAAATTATGAAATCTTACAATCAAATTATGTTAGTGCACTTAGTCTTAAGGAGCTATTACTTAAACTGTTTGATACTCCCAGCATTGAGTCTATTTCAATTTATGTGACACTCCCCATTTTGGACGTCCCCACATTCTTTGGCCCCATTTTTTTTGATGTGTATGTTTGACGCCATTCTTGCTTGATGTGTATGCTTGACGCCATCTGTTTTCATACAACTTTAGTTCACAATTATTAAACTATTCAGGTTACAACATGTTTTTTTTCTTCTATCAATATAACTTTTCAACCTGTTGCATTCTGAAATTCAAGCTAAGAACACTAGCTAAACTGAGGAAGAAAGCTACTACTACTACTAAGCTAAGCTAAGGAAACTAGGGATAATCTCATTAATAGCCTTCCAAATGATAACAACTGAAGAGTAATAGAAAAAGCCTAGCTAACTTACTAGGGTCTAAAAGAAACTGTTACAATACGAATTTGGATGATTTCATTTCCTTTGATAACGAAGGCTCGAACATATGGGAAGAAATCACCTTGTATTTTTTGAGGTCTTCAAGTCATCAATAGATTGAAAACAGAATCAGGTTCGGTTCATTTTGGTTTTTAAGTTGTTCAGACCAGATAGAAGTACAAATGCAGTGCTCAATACAACGTGAAGTAATCAACATTTGGCGCACCTTTATTTTCAAGATCATCTTTCCTGGCTTTCTTTTTTTAATGGTGGGGGCATAATGTTGTTTACCTAGATGTGACTGTGTATACTCTTAACCAGATGAGCTTTTTATCAATTGAATTTTCTAGTTTCAATCTAAACTATGGAATGCTTTGTATGTTAGCAAAGAATAGCTGGTATCAGGCCGGAATAAAGGAGGAAGCTTGCAATAGGTTAACCACCATGGAAATAATTCTTGTGCACAAAAACTTGATTTCTGGACTAACGGTGTTCATTTTTAAGAGAATCCCTATAAAACATTAATTGAAGAGTACAGAAATGGTAACTAAATTGGAGTAAATAGGGTAGACTAAACCTAAATGTTGATTTATGCATATTTATTCTGTACACTTGCTCATAATGGAGTGTTTGATTTAACATTATTATCCCCCCCCCAACAAAACTATTGACCCAAAGAAGAAAAACGCATATATTCTTATCATTTTCTGATGGAATGCGAGAATCTGAATATTTTATTTTTTTTTCCCACAGGCCACACCAGGGACATATTATATAGATGTAGGTATGCATGTGTCTCACATGCTAAAGCTAAAGACATCATCTTTTACACTCTACCCAGCTATATAAGCCTTGTATCCTTTTTCTAATAACTTGAAGCTTGATATACTCCCTTCGTTTCAATTTTATGTGTCTTACTTTCCTTTTTAATCTGTTTAAAAATAACGCCTCCTTTTATATTTAGTAACTCTTTAGCTCCAACACTCCATATGGCATATTTCAGACTACAAGATTCAAGTACATTATACACATCTTTACTTTAAGACCACAAGATTTAAATGTCTTCTTTACACATAAATTGAAACGGAGGGAGTATTATTTAAGCTCTACACAAGTAAACAGAAAAAATACACGTCATTGGGTGTGCACAATCATCTCTAGATTCTTTTTCTCTTCTTTCAATTCACAACATTCGAAACTATGTCACCTGAGCCTATCAGCCTAAACTACTTCATTTTTTGCTTCAGTTAACTACTATCTTTCTTTCTTGTGGAATTTTTTTGGAATTGCTTTCTAGTTTCTACATGTATCTTTATGACTATTAATGTGGCCAAAGTATTTGTTAGTCAAGAAATTAGGTTTTGTCGTTTAATCTAAGTTATTTTTCTTTCTATACCTATTTATTCTTTGGCTAATACGGAGTTTTATTACTGTAGCTGCTAGGTGATGAATGCTTTGATATTGATATTGCTCTAGACAACATGTATGGACGAGAATTCTGTGAGAAAGTGAATGAGTACTTATCAGCATCAGGTGAGGAAACCCAAGGAGTTGGTGTAATCCAGTGGTATGTTCCCGCAGTCTTTCCTCATGAGATGTTTTTTTCCAATTTTTTTGACATATTATTTTTCTTAGGGAAGGGGAAAAGAGGGACAATGAGAATTGAACCCACATCTGTTCTGTGGAAAGCTCCCGCCGTGTACCATTAAACTAGAAGTCTTGATTTTGGTAGATGTTTTTTATTTATTGTTAAAGGTAGTATATTGATATCATCATCAAGTAAGTGCGTTGAAGTAATTACAAGTCATAGCTACATTACGTGCTATGTAATGAGCTCAAAAGTCAACCATGACCTCAATGTCATTTGCAATAGCCATGTTACACCAAAAAAAGAGTAAAGAAATATACCTGTATTTAATGCTAGTTACAGATTCCAATTTGCTTCAAAAACTCTTGTAGTCCTTTCCTTCCAAATAGTCCACCAGATCACCGAAGGGATGGTTTTGGCAGATGTTACGCAACCAAAATAGGGGTAAAAGTTGGTTTATTTTTAATTTAATAGAGGATGGATAAATATGGTGAATAGTAATTGGCACTGATGACAAAACCATGAACAAGCATATTAGTTAAATTTTGTCTCACTAAATTTAATAGAGGATGGATAACCTATTAACCTATGTTGTCTCTCATTTAATGTAGGTAGCTTTTTTAATGCTATGCTGTTTAAGATCTATGAGATGACAGAACCATGAACTAGCATATTAGTTAAATTTTTGTTTCTTTGAAATAGGGAGTGAAGTTGTGTTGTCCCTCATTTATTGTAGGCCCAATTATTTAACTCTATGCTCTATACGAATTTTGGGTTTTGAAGAATAGTATTGTAATGAGGGTTCAAACACCATCAGAGACACAAAACACTAGGCGATTTCTTCCCGTATTGCCTAAGCCTTGGTGGGCAAAGTTATTCGGTACCTGCATTGGTGGAGAGGTAGTAGGTACCCGGTGGACTAGTCGAGGTACATACAAGGTGGACCGAGCACCACTGATATTAAAAAACTAGTGTTGTAGTGTAGGACATGCATTCTTGTTACCGTTCTCAAAAACAAAAGTGTAGGACTTGCATTGCGTTATTGAGAATGATTGCCAAGTTCTGTCAGGGAGGAGTAAGTTGTTGAAATTGAGAAGGTATCAATTAATTAAACCTTGACCTGAAAATAAGTTGATAGATATGACTCTAGTGCAGCTGGTTGCTTTTTGTAGTCCTCCTTTATGTTCAGTGATAGTCTTGTAATAAAGATCCAGCTAAAAGTTATCTGGGCAATAGATTAAAGTAAAGCTCTTTTTGCAGGTCTGTGCCGTCTGAGTGGAGTTTGGGAGGGCTGATAATTTTTGTTTTCCCTACATATTTTAAAAAAAGAAGCAAGTTTTTAGTTTTTGTGCCAAAAAAGGAAGAGAATTCTAATCTTCTGTGCTATAAGTGTTCTAGGATCTTTTATCCTACTAGGAGTACTCTAAGATTACTACTATTATCTTATCTTGATGTGACACGTCACTTTCTCAATGTTGTTGGCTTGTATAGCAAATTTTCATTAATTAAATATTATTTTATAATCTTTACAGCAATCCCGAACAGTCAAAGCACTTGGAAACAGCAAGGATGCGCCTTTATGACGTATGGATTGATTTCGTCAACTTAAGAGCGGAAGACTACAGTGAGAACAGTCGTATTCCAACAATGGTATGTAATTGTTGAATTGGTAATAGATATATATCTTCTCTTTGGTGTTTAAATTTGTATTCTTATTAATTTTATTGTAAATGCGGGGGATGAAAGGCTTAGTAGATTCTACCAAACCTAGCTATGAAAAATAACAAAAGGGAGTAAGTGAAGGAATAAGTAAAGCTAGAGCTTTTGCATGAGTGTCCTCTATTGCATTCGGTATCAAGGGCCTCAGTTAAGAGAGTACAATGCTTAGTGTCATCCTTTAAATTGGGATCAATTGGGATGGTCATCTAGTGAATGAGAATGCTGAATCAACATGTTACCAGTTCCCGTCCGCTGTTTGCTCAAGAGCTCAAGATTAATGAAAGTCTCTTATATAATATGTTAGAATAGTTCAGTTTAATGTCTGAACTTATTTACGCTTCTTTTATCTTATTCTTTTGTATGACCTTTTTTTATGAACCTAATCAACCATCGTTGCAATGATAGGATGCCTTCATAATATTTAACCATTGATGTCTGTTATGATTAAATTCCTTTCCATTATTTAATGCTGCCGTCCTAACAGTTACATCAAACAATTAAATGTCAAAATTTTAACAGTCATGCGTATGTTCGGTGTGCCACGGACGCTAGTTTCATCATTAAAAGATTGTCTTTCTCATCTGCTGTTCTTAGAAATTTGGCACTGCAAAAGAGGATGCAGATCGCAGGGATTTGACCATTAATAGGTACTTTGTTATATCTTTACTTTTCAGCACCCTTTTTAAATATTTGCCACACCTTTGCACTTGTAGGCAGCAACTTGGTTTAGTTGATCTATTTTCCCTTCCCCCAGCCCAAACAACCCAAAAGAGTAAATGAGGAAAAAGAAAAGCATCTTGGTCATGTCAGTGTAAGAGCACAAACTTCATGGAAAGCTTCTCAGTTTCTTTTTCATCTTCTTCTAAGTTTGTATGTTTATTTGTTTTCTTAGCATCTTTTTGGTTTGTTTATTTTCTCTTGGGACAGGAGGATGTTTCCATATCATTTCATTTATTTTGGAGAATCTTGCCTTTGTATGCATTATTGTATTTGTCCAACTATGTTTTAAGTTAGCTTTTTGTTTCAACATGATAAAAATGAGTTGCCTTGTTTAATCAGCTAATTTTTCACTAAAAATTATGTCTTTACAGCTTGTTTTACAACATAAACACCAAGTCAGTCGAAGATTTTACAGAAAGAGGTATGCACGAGCTCTATTTCTCTTGACCAGATTCAGTTGCGTGCAACTAGAAATATAGGTTATTACAATTTACATGCTAATTAATTAATTACGTGCTGTTCAGGCATTGCAGATCTGAAGTCTGGAAAAATTGTCACCCCACTACCTCCAAAGCAGACCTTTTTGGATGATCCCCTAAGAGTCCTTCGAGCTGTTCGTTTTGGTAATGCATTAGACAATCTCTCAGTTGCCTCCTCCGCTCTTCTTATGACAATTCTTGTTTATTCTGTATCTGACATAGATGTCGACTATTACTATTGACATTATGATATTGGATGATTGGCAGCATGTGGATGTTTCTTCGAAGTCTTAAGCAAATTGAATATTTCTCAAAGTTAAAGTAGGATTAGTTTTTTTCTAGGCAATTATATCCGTACCCTACAAGATTATTTAGAAATAAAGCATAAGATATAGAATTTCTAGAGTAATAAATACCTTTTTTGATAGAGTAATACATTTTATTAAAAGAAGGGCAAAGACATGGCCATATACAAGAAGTATACCACAAGATAGGAAAACCATTTAAAAATATGATTTTCTATGAAAGACACCAAATTGTCTATACATATAGGAGCCGCATGGTTGCAGGGATTAGATGCTATTCTTTAAGTGTGAAAAATCCTTCTCTACTCCATCAAAAGCTCTCTTATTCCTCTCTCCATACAGTCCACATAAGTGCTAGAGGAGCAACATCCCATGGCATGCGTCTTCATTAAGAAGATTTCTGTCTTCTTAACGTCTAGCTAAACACTATTTCGTTCAGTGCCCGACATTACCCACTCGAGTCCAAACCATCCGATAGTGTAAAAGGAGCTGATTTACATCTTCTCCCGAGCCTTTAGTACCAATTGACACAAGTAATCTTTCCCTTCCTCAAGTACTCTGCAGTCAAGATCCCCTCCGTGCAGCTAGCCAAGTGGAAAAATACACAATTTTTGGAATCTTAAGAATTCATACTGAGATGTGTGGAAAATCTAGCTCCTCCCTAATCAGGAGCTTCTCATGATAGGACTAGACAGAAAAGACGCTTGTTTCCCGTAAGCCCCATCTTCATACATCTTGGCTATCATGTAAAATTCATTTTTTATGAAGCAACTTGATCAAAATTTGAAATTCTTCAACCTCCCCGTCTTTCAAGTTCTTCCTAAACCTCAAATAACAAAGCACTTCCCCCCTTGTAGACTCCACAACCGTTGGACTGGTATCTCCTTTTGGCATGAAATTTTATATATTTTTGGAAATGTGATTCTCAAAATGTTCCCTCACCACCTATGTCCCCAAAAAACTCACCCAGTTCCTGCCACCTACTCTGAATGAAATATTCGCATTAAACTATTAGTCTCTTACCATCACTTTACCTTTAAAAAAAGTACTCTTACCACCTCTTTATGAAATTCCTCCATAATCGTACCGATATGTGGAAGTGAGACATTTTTAGTCCTCGATCCCATTCTAGAACCCTATACTTCTCATCTATCCCAAATTTCCATAACCACTTTCTCATTAATGCCTTGTTAAAAGCTCTTAGATCTTTAATTTCAATTCCACCCCAACACTTTGGTGTGGTAAGTGTCCCCCATTTTACTACGTGAAACTTCCTCTCTCCGCTTGATACAATCTATAAAAAATCCCTTAACTCCGACTGGAGTGCTTAGCAAGGACATGAGATGTGTGGCAATGGTCGATAGGATATTCTTAATTCACACTTCCTTTCCCCCTTTTGGTAAATACCTATTTGCCAATGTGCGAACTTTATTTTCTATCCTCCCTATCATCAGATTCCAAATTGCTTGGTCCTTATTAGAGGCTCCTAGCGTTAAAGCCCATATAAGTGGTGGGAAGAGACCCAACCTTTCAATTCAACACCTCAGGACCTCAATATTTTCCACCTCGCCAACTGGATGATCTGACACCAACCAATGTTAACACTTGTATCAAGTAAGACATGAGCTTTGTCAGCATCATAAATCAACAAAAGTGTCATGCGCCTGCCTGCTTTGTCTTTGCCATAGTCGATGCCCAAAGTTAAGGTTGCCTTGCCATCACTCAAGGCTCCTTGACAAGCTGACTTGCCTAAGTCACATGCATTCACTTAGACACACAACCAGCCCCGCACATTGTTTCCCTCTTCCGCACAAACCCATGTCAAGGGGCAACATACAAACCCTTGACATTGGTTCTGGTAGACATTTGTCATGTACCAACATTAGGGGCTAACAGACCACCCCTGCTAGTTGAATTCGACGTCCTCGTCGAGGCTGTCTTCAAGTAGTCCTCCACTTGTTTTTCATACTGTCACAAAGAAGCACCCTTCTACCAAGTTGCATCTATCTCGGGCTTCCCTTTCCATTGAATCAAGAAGTCTGTCCGCCTGTTTTCTTATGTACCCCAAGAACCTGGTTATCTAAAATTTTCTCAATCTCGCCCTCAAACTGTGTGTGCACCACAGTAGGAGCTCTCTTAATCTTGTGTTGATCTGGATCTTCGGCATCATCAATGTAAGGCTTCAAGAAGCTCATATGGAAAGTCTGATGGATTTTTATTCTTTCCATCAATTTTAGACGGTACGCAACCTCACCAACCTTCTCAACAACTTCAAAGGTTTGAAACTAGTGCCCTATGTCTTACCCTGCTGTCAATTTTCTTTCATATCTGCGGAGTAAGTTTCAATTGCACCATGTTGCCCACTTTGAATTCCAATGGGTGTCTTTTTTGATCAGCATACTTCTTCATCCTCTTTTGGTCCTTCTTCAAGCTATATTTTGCCTCTTAAATCATGGCTTGCCTGCCCATGGCATAATGGTATGCAACTGGAACTTGCTCCTTGTATTCTGTTGTGCAATTTTAAGTGGCTTCGCCCAAAATTAGCTCGAATAGACTCATCTCCGTAGCCGAGGACTTGTGCAAGTTATTGGAAAACTGTGCACTAAATCTGCCCAGTTTGATCAGCCATCACAAAATGCCTCAAATATTTCTCAAGCAGATGCTTGATCCTTTCGGTTTGGCCATTAGGTTGGGGATGATTTGCGGTTGAAAACTTCAAATTTGTTCCCGTCAGATTGAACAAATAAGTCCAGAATCGACTTGTGAATCTTGCATCCCTGTCACTTATGACATCCTTTGGTATACCGAAGTATTTCACCACATTTTGAAAGAACAGCTCTGCAGTGACATTTGACGGACACGCAGTAGGAGCAACAATGAACATATCATACTTCGAAAACCTATCAACCACCACCATGATTGATGATAACCTATTCACCTTCGGAAACCCAATGATGAAGTCCATAGAGACAAACGTCCACTACCCTTCAGGAATAGGAAGAGGTTGTAGTAAACCTGCCTCCTTCTTTCGCTCAGTCTTGTCTAATTGGCAAACAAGACAACCCTTCACATAAGCTTCAACATCTTGTTCCATCTTCGGGACAATGGGAGCTATATCGGGACAATGGAGCTAACATTATCCTCTCACTTCCAGGAACGTATCATGCGTCTCTTTCAAAAGCTCACGATGCAAACCATCACCATAAGGTACGATGATGGTCCCCTCTCTCACTTGATTTATAGTTTTCACATGCAGTGACTCATTTGCAGTACAAGACTTGATCTTATCAAGAAAATCCGCCTCAAGTCGAGTAATAGAATAGACAACAGCAAATACCTTTTTGCGACTTAACGCATCGTCCACCTGATTGTGTCTCCCCGACTTGTATTCCCAAAGAAAGTCATATTCTGCAAGGAACTCTTGCCAGCGAACTTGCTGTGGACTTAGCTTCCATTGTGTCTTGAAGAATGTATTGGCCACATTATCTGTCTTCACAACAAACTTCGTACCTAGCAAATACACATGCCAAACCTACAAGCAATGTATCACAACAACCATTTCCTTCTCATGAGCCGAGTTTGACTTTGTCGTTGTATATTTGGACGACATTGTGATCTATAGTCGGACCCTTGATGAACATATTTCACCTTTGATCAAAGTACCCTCTTGTTTGAGGGAGTACAAATTGTACGTGAAGATGGAAAAATGTGAGTTTGCTATGCAAGAAATTAAGTTTCTTAGGCATTTGGTAAGTCAGAACCAAGTGCGCATGGACCCAAAGAAGGTGCAAGCCACTGTGGAACCCCTAGTTGTGAAAGAATTGAGGTCTTTCGTTGGGTTGACAAACTACTACAAAAAATTCATTGCTGGTTACTCGAAGAAAGCTGATCCTTTAACTGATTTGTTAAAGAATAATGTTAGGTGGGTGGGGTCTAAATCGTGCATTAATGCATTTGATATGTTGAAAGAAGCCATCTCCTATCTTGCGGCTTCCTGATTTCGAGTTGCCCTTTGAAGTCCATACCAATGCTTCCGACAAGGCTGTCGGGGTGCGTTGGCACGGGAAGGCCATCCAGTGGCGTTCGAAAGTAGAACGTTGAATGAGAAAGTTCGAAAGATACTCTTTGCTTTGCCAGACACATCCCATGTAACCTCCCTTGTAACTGCCACCGGCAGCTCCTTTATATTGTTTTTATGTTGGCTACGGCAAGTAGCAGATATTGTGAGCCTTCCACCGTGAGTCATTTGTATATTCTGCGAGAATAAAATAAAAGGTTGGGTTTTACCTGTAATTGCTTTGTGTGCTTTCGTTTACAAGTCTGAAATAATTTTAAGTCCTAAAATGAGTGAGATGTTGATACTGAGATATTGTCTCTTTTCGTTTTTTCCGTCTTGTTGAGCCGATGGTCTATCGGAACCAACCTCTCTACTCTATCGGGGTAGGGGCAAGGTCTGCGTACACACTACCCTCTCCAGACCCCTCACCTGTGGGATTTTAGTGGGTTGTTGTTGTTGTAAAATGAGTGAGATAACAAGGCTGAGTGGCTTGCGACCGTGCAGTGTCATTGCGAAAAAATTGACCCTGTAATCAAGAAACTCCCCGTTCACAGGCCTTCTCAAGATCTAATTTGCGCAAATCCTTGTTTTGCCGTCATTTTGTGAACTTCCTATTTTTTGTCTTAGAAAAATAGTTGCATTCTTGGCCATATGACGTTATTACATTTTGTGGGATCAAACTTTTTTATCTTTGTTACTTCTCAAAGATAAAAAACTGTTTTATCTTTGTTCTGATTTTTGAATCTTTTAAAAAAATATTAACTATTATAGTATTATTTACAGTACTTCTATGTAGTTTCTAAATATATAAGTTTTATTGAAAAAAACTTGAAGAATCTATTATGTCCATATTCATACTGAATTTTAGGATTTTTGACCCTCGTACTATGATGTCCTTCACAAAAAATGGGACAGAGGAAGTATAAACTTTCTTGATTCTTTTTTCCTATAGAAATTACAATTGGAGGTTATTTTTGAACTAGATCTCACAGCACATCTACTTAATATTATATAATTACCTATCCCCCTCTCGGGGGGGGGGGGGGGGAAAA